CATGTGGGGTGAGCTGGGCTCCTCTGCCTTGGATCAAAATTAAACCCATCCTTATTTTTTACTATTTTTCGACTTTTTGGGATTTTTTTTGTAAATTTTCCTCCATTTTGGCTGTTTTTAGGGAGTTTCCCGGGTTTTTGATCCATGAGGGTGGATCTAGAGCAACTCATTTGCCTTGGATCAAAATTAAGTCTATTCTTATTTTTCTTAATTTTGTGAGGGTTTTCTAGTTTTTTGTGGGTGTTTTTGATCCACGTGGGTGGAGCTGGGGCCGTTCCTCTGCCTTGGATCAAAATTAATCCAATCCTTATTTTTTTTGGTTTTTTAGTGTAATAATTCCCACTTTGGGTTTTTATGATTTTTGTGGGTTTTTTTTTTATCCATGGCTGTGGAGGGGAGCCCACTCCTCTGCCTTGGATCAAAATTTAGCCATATAGAGCCCCTAGATAGTCTGTTACCCCAACGAGTTTAGCGCCTCCTTGTATAATTTATTATTAATATTTTGTAAAATATTTATAATATATTTTGCATTTTTTGATGGTTTTTAATATATTTTTGTGTTTTAACTTGGTTTAACCTTTTTTATGTGACATTTTGGTTTATATAAATTGTTTCGTGTTTTATATTAAATTTTAAAGTGTCTAACTTAACCTAACTTAACCTCAACTTTAACTTAACTTAACTTAACCTAACCTATTTTAACCTAACTTAACCTCAACTTTAACTTAACTTAACCTAACCTATTTTAACCTAACTTAACCTCAACTTTAACTTAACTTAACCTAACCTATTTTAACCTAATTTAACCTCAACTTTAACTTAACTTAACCTAACCTATTTTAACCCAACTTAACCTAACCTATTTTAACCTAACTTAACCTCAACTTTAACTTAACTTAACCTAACCTATTTTAACCCAACTTAACCTCAACTTTAACTTAACCTAACCTATTTTAACCTAACTTAACCTCAACTTTAACTTAACTTAACCTAACCTATTTTAACCCAACTTAACCTCAACTTTAACTTAACTTAATCTAACCTATTTTAACCTAACTTAACTTTATAAGAGAGGTGACTATATTATTATTATTATTATTATTATTATTATTATTATTATTATTATTATTATTATTATTATTATTATTATTCCTGGTCTTGTGTTTTTTATTTAATAAATTTTATAGTATACGTATTCGACTGAAATATTTTGGCCGAACCGAATATGATGATATTCCTGTCAAAACTGATATATATTTTGTTAATATTAGTAACATAATAATAAAGATAATAATAATTATCATAATCATAATATTTTTCATAATGTTAACGAGGAAAATACAGTATTTTGTTAATAATAATGATTATGTAATATAATTATAATAAAAATATTTTTGACAATATTAAGAACTTCAGCAATATTTCCAGTAGAATCGTGTTATTTCGTGAGTATGGATCGTGAGTACGAGAGGCGGCTATTACGGCAGCAGAATGGACCAGTCACATCACCCGCCTCGCCTCTCTCGGTAAGTTCGTATCTTTGTAAGCTCGTGTCTTGCGTTCGTAAGTTCATGTCTTGTGTTCATAAGTTCGTGTCTTGTGTTTGTAAGTTCGTGTCTTGTGTACGTAAGTTTGTGTTTGTAAGTTTGTGTCTTGTGTTTGTAAGTTCGTGTGTCTTGTGTTTGTAAGTTCGTGTTTCTTGTGTTTGTAAGTTCGTGTCTTGTGTTTGTAAGTTTGTGTCTTGTGTTTGTAAGTTCGTGTCTTGTGTTTGTAAGTTTGTGTCTTGTGTTTGTAAGTTCGTGTCTTGTGTTTGTAAGTTCGTGTCTTGTGTTTGTAAGTTCGTGTCTTGTGTTTGTAAGTTTGTGTCTTGTGTTTGTAAGTTTGTGTCTTGTGTTTGTAAGTTCGTGTCTTGTGTTTGTAAGTTTGTGTCTTGTGTTTGTAAGTTCGTGTCTTGTGTTTGTAAGTTCGTGTCTTAACATACAATCCATGTTAAAATAAAAATTAATCCATGAGTTATCAAACTTTGATTTAGTGACTTCCAGTCATCTGCAGTGAAGGTAGAGTATACCTGGTACGGCTGGAAACATTAGGATGGGTTTCCTTAAGACACCTGCTGTCCTAGTTCACCTAGCAGTAAAATAGGTACCCAGGTGTTAGTGGACTAGTGTGGGTCGCATCCTGGGACAAAACTGACCTAATTTGCAGGAAGTGCTCTGCATAACAAGGGTCATTCTATATATACCTACCATCCGACTTACGACCTGCTCGACTTACAACCACTCGACTTACGACCGTGTTTTTTATGCCAAATTTCTGGGAAATAAACAACTATTTGTGTTGTACACAATGTTTATCCTAAACCTTACAGTATAAAATACAGTACTAACAACATAAAAAGTAAAGTAAAACATGAAATACCAAAATAAAACAAATTAAGTCATTACAAAAATGTTTTGTTGATTTTCAGTAGTAAAGTTTGACTTACGACCGGTTTCTCAGAACCGAACTCGGTCGTAAGTCGGATGGTAGGTGTATTAGTATGTCACTGGTATGAGCTATGGTCTGTATAAGTTGTGTCATGTAGAATAAAGTTTATTGTTATTATTTTATATGCTTTGCAACAGCTGCAGGAGTCAACTTGGGTTCTTATATAGGTGACAGGTTCTTAGTGGGCATCTTCTGAGAGTTCTCCTTGAAGCAGCAATGTTCTCTTGATACAGTTGGAGTTGAAGGTCTACATTGGTAGACTAAGTAGCTTGTTTTTACTAAGTCAGTCTACACTAGTAGTCTAAGTAGCTTGTTTTAACTAAGTCAGTTTGTTCCTTTTGCTATCACTTACCAACTTGCATTACAAATACAAATTGTATTTCTTTGCATAGTACACAATGTGTGGTTTACATGTTATAAAGTATTGTTAAGCACATAGACAGCCAATAACATACTTGAGCATTTCCCATAGACTAGGCCTTAGGCCTACACACTACTTGGAACTACACATAGATTGTGCAGTGGTAAATATTAGTTATTTGTTATTGTACATTAATGCAAACAAGAGGGTGACACTGGCATTATTTTCTTCATCAATAATAATGAATATCAATCTGTCATATATATATATATATATTTTTTTTTTTTTTATTATCACACCGGCCGATTCCCACCAAGGCAGGGTGGCCCGAAAAAGAAAAACTTTCACCATCATTCACTCCATCACTGTCTTGCCAGAAGGGTGCTTTACACTACAGTTTTTAAACTGCAACATTAACACCCCTCCTTCAGAGTGCAGGCACTGTACTTCCCATCTCCAGGACTCAAGTCCGGCCTGCCGGTTTCCCTGAATCCCTTCATAAATGTTACTTTGCTCACATCCAACAGCACGTCAAGTATTAAAAACCATTTGTCTCCATTCACTCCTATCAAACACGCTCACGCATGCCTGCTGGAAGTCCAAGCCCCTCGCACACAAAACCTCCTTTACCCCCTCCCTCCAACCCTTCCTAGCCGACCCCTACCCCGCCTTCCTTCCACTACAGACTGATACACTCTTGAAGTCATTCTGTTTCGCTCCATCTCTCTACATGTCCGAACCACCTCACAACACCCTTCCTCAGCCCTCTGGACAACAGTTTTGGTAATCCCGCACCTCCTCCTAACTTCCAAACTACGAATTTCTCTGCATTATATTCACACCACACATTGCCCTCAGACATGACATCTCCACTGCCTCCAGCCTTCTCCTCGCTGCAACATTCATCACCCACGCTTCACACCCATATAAGAGCGTTGGTAAAACTATACTCTCATACATTCCCTCTTTGCCTCCAAGGACAAAGTTCTTTGTTTCCACAGACTCCTAAGTGCACCACTCATCCTTTTTCCCTCATCAATTCTATGATTCACCTCATCTTTCATAGACCCATCCGCTGACACGTCCACTCCCAAATATCTGAATACGTTCACCTCCTCCATACTCTCTCCTCCAATCTGATATTCAATCTTTCATCACCTAATCTTTTTGTTATCCTCATAACCTTACTCTTTCCTGTATTCACCTTTAATTTTCTTCTTTGCACACCCTACCAAATTCATCCACCAATCTCTGCAACTTCTCTTCAGAATCTCCCAAGAGCACAGTGTCATCAGCAAAGAGCAGCTGTGACAACTCCCACTTTGTGTGTGATTCTTTATCTTTTAACTCCACGCCTCTTGCCAAAACCCTCGCATTTACTTCTCTTACAACCCCATCTATAAATATATTAAACAACCACGGTGACATCACACATCCTTGTCTAAGGCCTACTTTTACTGGGAAAAAATTTCCCTCTTTCCTACATACTCTAACTTGAGCCTCACTATCCTCGTAAAAACTCTTCACTGCTTTCAGTAACCTACCTCCTACACCATACACTTGCAACATCTGCCACATTGCCCCCCTATCCACCCTGTCATACGCCTTTTCCAAATCCATAAATGCCACAAAGACCTCTTTAGCCTTATCTAAATACTGTTCACTTATATGTTTCACTGTAAACACCTGGTCCACACACCCCTACCTTTCCTAAAGCCTCCTTGTTCATCTGCTATCCTATTCTCCGTCTTACTCTTAATTCTTTCAATTATAACTCTACCATACACTTTACCAGGTACACTCAACAGACTTATCCCCCTATAATTTTTGCACTCTCTTTTATCCCCTTTGCCTTTATACAAAGGAACTATGCATGCTCTCTGCCAATCCCTAGGTACCTTACCCTCTTCCATACATTTATTAAATAATTGCACCAACCACTCCAAAACTATATCCCCACCTGCTTTTAACATTTCTATCTTTATCCCATCAATCCCGGCTGCCTTACCCCCTTTCATTTTACCTACTGCCTCACGAACTTCCCCCACACTCACAACTGGCTCTTCCTCACTCCTACAAGATGTTATTCCTCCTTGCCCTATACACGAAATCACAGCTTCCCTATCTTCATCAACATTTAACAATTCTCAAAATATTCCTTCCATCTTCCCAATACCTCTAACTCTCCATTTAATAACTCTCCTCTCCTATTTTTAACTGACAAATCCATTTGTTCTCTAGGCTTTCTTAACTTGTTAATCTCACTCCAAACTTTTTCTTATTTTCAACAAAATTTGTTGATAACATCTCACCCACTCTCTCATTTGCTCTCTTTTTACATTGCTTCACCACTCTCTTAACTTCTCTCTTTTTCTCCATATACTCTTCCCTCCTTGCATCACTTCTACTTTGTAAAAACTTCTCATATGCTAACTTTTTCTCCCTTACTACTCTCTTTACATCATCATTCCACCAATCGCTCCTCTTCCCTCCTGCACCCACTTTCCTGTAACCACAAACTTCTGCTGAACACTCTAACACTACATTTTTAAACCTACCCCATACCTCTTCGACCCCATTGCCTATGCTCTCATTAGCCCATCTATCCTCCAATAGTGTTTATATCTTACCCTAACTGCCTCCTCTTTTAGTTTATAAACCTTCACCTCTCTCTTCCCTGATGCTTCTATTCTCCTTGTATCCCATCTACCTTTACTCTCAGTATAGCTACAACTAGAAAGTGATCTGATATATCTGTGGCCCCTCTATAACACATGTACATCCGAAGTCTACTCAACAGCCCTTTTATCTTACCAAACAAAATCCAACAAACTACTGTCTTTTCGCCCTACATCTATTCGTGTAACTTATTTATCCTCTTTCTTAAAATATGTATTACCTAAAAACTAAACCCCTTTCTATACAAAGTTCAATCAAAGGGCTCCCTTTATCATTTACACCTGGCACCCCAAACTTACCTACCACACCCTCTCTAAAAGTTTCCCTACTTTAGCATTCAAGCCCCCTACCACAATTACTCTCTCACTTGGTTAAAAGGGCTCCTATACATTCACTTAACATCTCCCAAAATCTCCTCTCCTCCTCTGCTTTCCTCTCTTCTTCCAGGTGCATACACGCTTATTATGACCCACTTCTCGCATCCAACCTTACTTTAATCCACATAATTCTTGAATTTACACATTCATATTCTCTTTTCTCCTTCCATAACTGATCATTTAACATTACTCAAACCCCTTCCTTGCTCTAACTCTCTCAGATACTCCAGATTTAATCCCATTTATTTCCCCCCACTGAAACTCTCCTACCCCCTTCAGTTTTGTTTCGCTTAGGGCCAGGACAATCCAACTTTTTTTCATTCATAACATCACAATCATCTGTTTCTTGTCATCCGCACTACATCCACGCACATTTAAGCAACCCCCAGTTTTATAAAGTTTTTCTTCTTCTTTTTTTTAGTAATTGTATACAGGAGAAGGGGTTTACTAGCCCATTGCTCCCGGCATTTTAGTCGCCTCATACGACACGCATGGCTTACGGGGGAAAGATTTTTTTCCATTTTCCCCATGGACAATAGAAGAAATAAAAAAGAACAAGAGCTATTTAGAAAAAAGAGAAAAACCTAGATGTATTAATATATATATGCATGTGCGTTCTGTGAAGTGTGACCAAAGTGTAAGTAGGAGTAGCAAGATATCCCTGTTATCTTAGCGGGTTAGAGACAGAAAAAGAAACCACAATCCTACCATCATGCAAAACAGTTAACAGGTTTTTGTTTCACAGTCATCTGGCAGACGGTAGTATTTCCCGGGGTGGTTGCTGTCTACCAACCTACTACCTACATATATATATATATATATATATACATACATATACAGTGGTCCCTCGCTTTTCGTATTCCCCGCAATCGTAAATTTCGCCAATCATAGGGGTATTTTTGTATAAACAGGGACTCGCTTTTCATAGGTTGACTCGCGAGTCGTAGTTCGCCCGGGGACGCGTACCCACGGCGTGAGCCGTGTGCCAGCCAGTCTGCATTGTTTACCAGTGAGCGAAGGTCCCCTCACATGCTCCAGCGAAATATTTCCTAATATTCCATTTATTTTAGTGCTTGCAAGTACTAAATAAGCTACCATGGATCCAAAGAAAGCTCCTAGTGCCAAGCCTGTGGTAAAGAAGGTGAGAAATACGATTGAATTTAAAAAACCATCATTGAACAATGTGAAAGTGGTACAAGTGCGGCCGAACTGTCCAGATGTATAAGAAACCCTACAAAACCCCATATTTCCATAGTGGCCAAGAAAAAGGAAATCAAGGATGCTGTTTTTTGCAAAGGGAGTAACTATGCTGTTAAAAATGAGATCACCAGTACTGGAAGAGGTTGAGAAGTTATTATTGGTGTGGATAAATGAGAAACAATTAGCAGGGGATACTCTTATGACTTCGATTATTTGTGAAAAGGCTAGGCAGTTGCATGAAGATTTGGTAAATAAATTGCCTGCAAATAGAATGATGTGGGGTGAATTTAAGGCCAGCAAAGGCTGGTTTGAGAGATTTAAGAACAGTACTGTGCATACACAGTGTGGTAAGGCATGGGGAGGCTGCCAGTTCGGACCACAAGGCGGCTGAAAAAATATGTGCATGAATTCCAGGAGTACATAGATGCTGAAGGACTGAAACCTGAACAAGTGTTCAATTGTGATGAAACAGGCCTCTTTTGGAAAAAATGCCAAAGAGGACCTTCATTACACAAGAGGACAAGGCAATGCCAGGACACAAGCCTATGAAAGACAGGCTGACACTAATGTTCTGTGCTAATGCTAGTGGGGGTTTCAAAGTGAAGCCGTTACTAGTGTACCATTCAGAAAAACCCGGAGTGTTCAGGAAAAAAATGTTATGAAGAGTAAATTGTGTGGTGTTTTGGAAATCTAATATTTAAAGGGATGGTCACAGGGAAATTTTTTGTTTAGTGGGTTTAATGAAGTGTTTGGCCCTAGTGTGAAAAGGGGTATCTCCTGGAAAAGAAATTGGGTCTCCAAGTCCTCCTAGTACTGGACAAAAGCACCTGCTCATCCTCCAAACTTGGATGACCTAATTTTTGAGGAGTTTGGGTTCATCACAGTAAGGGTTTTTGCCCCCGAATACCACCACTCTCCTCCAACCCATGGACCAGCAGGGCATTGCAAACTTTAAAAAACCTACACAAAAGCAGTGTTTCACAGGTGCTTGACTGTGACCACAGACACTCACTTGACCCCTAAGGGAATTTTGGAGAGAACACTTCACATCCTCCATTGCATAAACCCCTTTTAGGGTTTTGGCTTGGGAGGGAGTGACTACCAGACTTGAACTCGCCTGGGGAATAAAATTGTGGCCAGATTTTGTCTACAAGAGGGGTTTTGAAGGGTTTTTGGGGCTGACCCTAATGAGCCTATGTCTGCTGTAAAAGTCAAATTTTGGCACTGGGGAGTTTCAGGGGTTGATGTGAGTTGGAGGATGTTGAAGAATTGGTGGAAGACCACAACGAAAGCTCACCACTGAGGAGCTCAAGAGCTTCAGCAGGAAGAGCAATACATTGCAGCTCAAATCTTGCTGCAGAGGAGGGAAAAGAGATGGAAAAGGTGCCTTCTTCAGAAAAATTTAAAGAGATTTTTATTATGTGGGGTAAATGGAAAGCTTTATGGAGAAACTCACCCTATACAAGGTTGTTGCAAGCCATATTGGCAACATGTACAGTGACAAAGTCTTGGGCCATTTTAGGGAAGTGTTAAAGAGATGCCAGAAACAGAGCTCTCTCCACAGTTATTTGTGAGACAGGACTCCAGTGACTCTCAAGGTGGTCCTAGTGGCATTAAGAAACAGAGAAGACAAGCAACCCCAGAAAAGCAATTGTTACCCGAGGTGTTGGTGGAAGGGGATTCCCATTCCAAACAGTAATTCAATCTGTCTCCTCCTCCAGTCTTCCATACACTAAGCAGAATCTCCAATAAAGGTAAGTGTTATGCTGTTAATGTTTCATTCATCATGTGCCATTGTATTGTTTATGTACTACATGTATATTTCATGTAAAAAATTTTTTTGTTTTAATACTTCTGGGTGTCAGGAACGGATTAATTGTATTTACATTATTTCTTATGGGGAAAATTGATTCGTAAATCGTAAATTTCGTTCATAGTAACGGCTCCAGGAACGGATTAATTACGAAAAACGAGGGACCACTGTGTGTGTGTGTAATGTATATATATATATATATATATATATATATAATATATATATATATAATTATGTGTGAGTGATGTGAAGGTGTTGAATGATGATGAAAGTATTTTCTTTTTGGGGATTTTCTTCCATTTTGGGTCACCTGCCTTGGTGGGAGATGGCCGACTTGTTGGAAAAAAAAACTATCTGTCAACATTACTTCTTTTTCACTCATATGTCTTTTGTTTTACCCTTTTTAAAAGAAAATATGACTTTTTTAGCGTAGTGTTTGCAAGAAGAAAATAAACAAAAGTAATGATGTTTATTTGGCAAACGTATTTAAATAATGTAAACACAAATCAATATGCATTCACTCCTCACCTAATGACCTAACTGTTTAATAACCGCTCGGACTTACGACCAACTCTCCCACCAGTGTACTGTATGTGTATTTTAAATTTTTATTGTTTTTTAATGCCTAGTTCTATTTTTAATATATTAAAAATGTTATGAATGGTGCAAACGTGACAGCAAAACAATATCTCAAGATGGTTGACACAAATCCACTACCAGTACAATATGCTGGAAATATCAGTAAGGGTCGGCTCCTCGCTTAACCACCAGTTCACTTACTGACCTAGTTGTAGGAACACAACTCAGTCGTTAAGTGAGGAATACCTGTATAAAAATACTGTTTTTAAGGTGTTTAATATTAACCTCCGCCACTAAAACACTGCACACAGTCTACCACTCTCTGTTTGCAAATACAAATATTATTTCCTTGTATAGTATACAATGTAAAATTTGCATGTTATAAAGTATATTGTTAAGTACAAAGACAGCCACTAACATTCATGAGTATTTTCCACAGACTAGGCCTAAGGCTCAGTACCAGGACACTAACTTCCCACACACTAGGTCTGATACTCAGTTCTAGGAGTACACTAACTATGTCTCAGCTACAACTCGGGTAAACTTTCCCACATCCCCTACCTCAGTTTTAATACATGTGTAAATATACATTCTGGTAAGTTGTATTTCACCATAAATGTATTATTCATCCAATGTTTTTGAAGAAAGCCATGTTAAATGCTTCAAACCCACAAATATACCATTTTTCTGGTGTGTCTATTACAAATAAAGGTGTAGAATGGCCTGCACACCTGGCTGTAATGATACCAGTAGTGGAGCAATCAAAACACAAGTTATATGACTTGTATTTCCTTCACCAAATAAGCAAGCTGGCACAGTAGGACATGTCCATATCCGCATGCTAAACATTCCAAGTACGCACCTGCCATGGATACCGAAACCGTGGATAGTAGCAAACCATATATATTAGTCCTATACATACCTGTTATAAAGTTTAATTGATAAATTATGCACAATAAATGGAGAATTATCACTTTTTCACTGATGGAAAGAACTTCACAACTTCTCTTAGACTTTGAACAACTGTCACCATCACTACTTATGTGCTTTGTTCCCATTATTATTATGCAAAATTAAGAGGTATTTTTGGGCCACAGTAAACCATGGATAACTGAAACCGCGGATACCGAATCAGTGGATACAGCGTTTCTACTATATTTACAATGTGTGCACTGTTTACAGTATGTAAAGTAATGTAAAAACAACTGCACAACACATTGATTAAAGAAGATAAAAGCAAGAGCCAGAGAATGTGCCATGAACGACCAGCAGCCCAGACGAGTCTACCGCTACTCACTTCACAAGTGAATCACATTGCTTCACAGCTCTGGTAGGCTTGTCCGTGATTGGCCGACCCCTCAGGGAAGGTTCCTTGATGTTGGTGAGGGGCTCTTGATTTAGGGAATTGGATCTGTGCTCCAGTTCCCTGAATTAAGCCTGAATGCCTTCCACATCGCCCCAGGCGCTGTGTAATCCTACGGGTTTAGCGCTTCCCCTTGATTATAATAATAATAATTATAATAATAATAATAATAATGTGATTGGCTGATGAACCCAGGTACTGATATATCCATGGTGCCGCTATTGATCGTTATATCCTCGACACCTGGTTGGCTGGTCAAGAGGCCGCCAGTATGGCATTGTGACATGCCATACTGGCATGTCACAGCCTCTAATAACTTGTCTGCCCTCTTTATTATTGTACTGACTTTATTGTTATTATTATTATTGTGACTTCTTATTGTGGTAACATTTATTATGTGATGCCTTTGTTATTATTATTCTGTCTTTCTTGTGTCTACAGCAACATAGGTGATGGTGTCTATATGTCTAATATCTTTATTATTGTTGTGTCTACAGCAACATACAGGTGACAGTTGTCTGTATGTCTCATATCTTTATTCTCCTTGTGTCTACAGACAGGTGACAGTTGTCTATATGTCTAACATTTTTATTCTTGTTTCTACAGCCTCGTAGACAGGTGACAGTTGTATCTATACAGTCACCTAGTAAAGAGAGGACAGGTGACAGGTTCATCCCCACCAGAGCTGGTGCTAACTGGGATGTTAACTTTGCACTTATACAAGTACGTTCTAATTGCTTTATTTACACTAATTCTGCTTTATTTACACTAGTAAGTTCTTTATTTACACTAGTAAGTTCTTTATTTACACTAGTAAGTTCTTTATTTACACTAGTAAGTTATGTACGTATTCTTAACCCTTCAACTGTCCAAACAAATTCACGTTCACACGCGTAATGCTCCAAAAGTAGATCTACGTTTTCTTACATATTTTCAAATATAACAAAAAAAAAGGTAGATCAAAGGTTTTTTTACACATTTTCAAATGTAAAAAAAAAGAAAAGATCCACTTTTTTTTACATACTTTCAAATGTGAAAAAACGTAGATCTGCGTTTGGACAGTTTAAGGGTTAATGTGTGTGTGTGTTCTTACATGTAAGAAAAGTACGCATGAGCAAAAGTACAGTGGACTCCCGGTTAACGATATTTTTTCATTCCAGAAGTATGTTCAGGTGCCAGTACTGACCGAATTTGTTCCCATAAGGAATATTGTGAAGTAGATTAGTCCATTTCAGACCCCCAAACATACACGTACAAACGCACTTACATAAATACACTTACATAATTGGTCGCATTTGGAGGTGATCGTTAAGCGGGGGTCCACTGTATATGATTAATGTCTGTAATTATTATTATTGCGGTAAATCGATTTTTTCAGGAGAACGTCAGTTATTATTATTATTATTATTACAGCCTCTCCTCACTTAGCAACGTACTTGTTTACCAACGACTCAGACTTACGATGGCTCTCTGACCAGTATGCATACCTAAATAATGTAGTATATTAGAGCTGATATCCTCTATTTTCTTTATAACAATATACAGTACACTACTGTATAAACATTTAAAAAATACCAGAAATGTTATAAATGGTACAACGATGACATAAAAATAATATCAAAGATGGTTGACACAGACCCACTACCATTATAGTATGCTCCTCACTTAGCGACAGATTCGTTTACCGACGTGGTCTCAGGAATGGGACTCCATCGTTAAGTGAGGAGAGGCTGTATTATTATTATTATTATTATTATTATTATTATTATTATTATTATTATTATCATCATCATTATCATCATCATTGCCAGAAACTGACCATTTTAGGAGAAGAACATCAGTTCTTATTTTTATTTCAGAACAATAAGATCAGTTATTATTATAGCGATAATGTGCCTTTGCAGGAGAATAAGGTCAGTAATCATTATTATTATTGCAGTAAATTGACCTTTGCAGGAGAACAACAAGGTGAACAGTGAAGTCCGTAAAGGTCGGGAAGGAGGCGAGGGTAAGGACGGTGTGGCGTACACGACACTTCTGAGGAACGAACTTCTGGGCACCAATATTGATGACCTGAGGGATACCCAGGATGACAGGCGGGCACTGTCACCAGTGCACACTCCTAACTTATACCATGTAAGATCTATAACCTCTGTCATGTAAGACTCCTAAACTGTATCATGTAAGACTCCTAAACTGTATCATGTAAGACTCCTAAACTGTATCATGTAAGGCTCCTAAACTGTATCATGTAAGACTCCTAAACTGTATCATGTAAGACTCCTAAACTGTATCATGTAAGACTCCTAAACTGTATCATGTAAGACTCCTAAACTGTATCATGTAAGACTCCTAACTGTATCATGTAAGGCTCCTAAACGTATCATGTAAGACTCCTAAACTGTATCATGTAAGACTCCTAAACTGTATCATGTAAGACTCCTAAACTGTATCATGTAAGGCTCCTAAACTGTATAATGTAAGACTCCTAAACTGTATCATGTAAGACTCCTAAACTGTATCATGTAAGACTCCTAAACTGTATCATGTAAGACTCCTAAACTGTATCATGTAAGACTCCTAAACTTTATCATGTAAGACTCCTAAACTGTATCATGTAAGACTCCTAAACTTTATCATGTAAGACTCCTAAACTGTATCATGTAAGACTCCTAAACTGTATCATGTAAGGCTCCTAAACTGTAAATGTAAGACTCCTAAACTGTATCATGTAAGACTCCTAAACTGTATCATGTAAGACTCCTAAACTGTATCATGTAAGACTCCTAAACTGTATCATGTAAGACTCCTAAACTTTATCATGTAAGACTCCTAAACTGTATCATGTAAGACCCTAAACTTTATCATGTAAGACTCCTAAACTGTATCATGTAAGACTCCTAAACTGTATCATGTAAGACTCCTAAACTTTAATCATGTAAGACTCCTAAACTGTATCATGTAAGACTCCTAAACTGTATCATTAAGACTCCTAAACTGTATCATGTAAGACTCCTAAACTTTATCATGTAGACTCCTAAACTGTATCATGTAAGACTCCTAAACTTTATCATGTAAGACTCCTAAACTGTATCATGTAAGACTCCTAAACTGTATCATGTAAGACTCCTAAACTTTATCATGTAAGACTCCTAAACTGTATCATGTAAGACTCCTAAACTGTATCATGTAAGACTTTTAACCTATACCATGTAAGATCTATATCTTATATATTGTTAATGATGCATGTATAGACTCCTATCTCATGTAAGATTTATAACATATTAATCCTTTGAGGGTCAGAACCCCTGATCTCAAAGTTGCTGTCACAGTCAAAGAATTTTCAAAAAAAAAAAGAAAACACTATAAAATGATACAGAATCTTTTTTCCGAAGGTAATGACCCTAAAAGCACAAAATTTGATGGAAAACTTAGGGAATTATGCTGGTGCAAAGGGGCAGTCTCGACGATATATGATCATCAGTGATTTCACCTACTTTGAGCCCTATTTTAGGCCAATTCCATGATTTCACTTGACCAAACTCTTAGCTATTTTACTAGTATTCTATCAGTTGAGTACAAGAAACCACTCATTCATCTATTTCAACTACCCAATAAAGAATATGATATGATAAGTCAGTAAATAACTACTGTCTCTGAGAAAGTCAATGAACAAATAATTACTGTAACTAAATAAATACCAGTATTGAAAAGTCGGTAAATGAATACAAATTAGAGACTTGCTGCCTTCATGCTGGGTAATTATCTTAAGTTTCATCTCCAAAGTAATTGTTGCTGCACCATTGTAAAGTTGAAATGTCGTAAGTTGAACCATCATGAAGTTGAAATATCATACGTCACCCCATTGTAAAATTAAAATATCGTACGTCATACCATTGTAAAGTTGAAATATAGTAAGTTGAACCATAGTAAGTAAAGGAGCACCTGTATTAATATTTTCTCTGTTTCTCTCTCTAGTTTTCCCCACGGAAGAATCACCAGAGAGAAGATGCACTGTCTCCGTATTCCTTGTCTCCTGTCAGTGCAAAGAGCCAGAAGTTGTTGCGGTCTCCTAGGAAAGCCGCTCGCAAGATATCTAAAATCCCTTTTAAGGTACCTTGAAATACCTGAATAACACGAATATAGAAGAATGACACTAATGACCATGTTTTGGACCGACTTGGACTATTCATTAGTGAATAGTCCAAGTTGGACCAAAACGTGGTCATTTGTGTCATTCTTCTATATTTGTGTTATTCGTGTATTGTTCCAGCCACGGTATTGTGAGTTTTTGTTCTTGATGTTCAGATGTTTGGATGTTGAGAAATGTTATGGTAACATTGTTTTAACATTCATTTAGGTTACACATGTACTTTGTGCATTCAGCAAAATTGGTTAGAGGATGTTACAGTTCTGGAGGTGGGAAGTACAGTACCTGTACTCTGAAGGATGAGTGAGGATGTTACAGTTCTGGAGGTGGGAAGTACAGTACCTGTACTCTGAAGGATGAGTGAGGATGTTACAGTTCTGGAGGTGGGAAGTACAGTACCTGTACTCTGAAGGATGAGTGAGGATGTTACAGTTCTGGAGGTGGGAAGTACAGTACCTGTACTCTGAAGGATGAGTGAGAATGTTACAGTTCTGGAGGTGGGATGTACAGTGCCTGTACTCTGAAGGATGAGTGAGGATGTTATAGTTCTAGAGGTGGGAAGTACAGTACCTGCACTCTGAAGGATGAGTGAGGATTTACAGTTCTGGAGTGGGAAGTACAGTACCTGTACTCTGAAGGATGAGTGAGGATGTTACAGTTCTGGAGGTGGGAAGTACAGTACCTGTACTCTGAAGGATGAGTGAGAATGTTACAGTTCTGGAGGTGGGATGTACAGTGCCTGTACTCTGAAGATGAGTGAGGATGTTTATAGTTCTAGAGGTGGGAAGTACAGTACCTGCACTCTGAAGGATGAGTGAGGATGTTACAGTTCTGGAGGTGGGAAGTACAGTACCTGTACTCTGAAGGATGAGTGAGGACGTTACAGTTCTGGAGGTGGGAAGTACAGTACCTGTACTCTGAAGGATGAGTGAGGATGTTATAGTTCTAGAGGTGGGAAGTACAGTACCTGCACTCTGAAGGATGAGTGAGGATGTTACAGTTCTGGAGGTGGGACATACAGTACCTGTACTCTGAAGGGATGAGTGAGACGTTACAGTTCTGGAGGTGGGACATACAGTACCTGTACTCTGAAGGATGAATGAGGACGTTACAGTTCTGGACGTGGGAAGTACAGTACCTGTACTCTGAAGGATGAGTGAGAATGTTACAGTTCTGGACGTGGGAAGTACAGTACCTGTACTCTGAAGGATGAGTGAGAATGTTACAGTTCTGGAGGTGGGGAGAACAATGCCTGTATTCAGAGTGCATTTACTATACTCTCAACCTACAGGACTCAAGTCTGGCTAACCATTTCCCCTGAACTTCTTCAATAAATGTCCCCTTGCTTTTGGCTTGCGTTTAAGTAAAATCCTATTCCTTTTTTTTTTTGAACCCCTCTAGGTTCTGGATGCTCCGGAACTGCAAGATGACTTCTACCTGAACCTAGTTGACTGGAGTTCACAGAACGTTCTATCTGTAGGCCTAGGGCACTGTGTCTATCTGTGGTCAGCCTATACATCCCAAGTGACCAGACTGTGTGACCTCTCCCTGGACGGAGACTCGGTAACATCTGTCTCCTGGTCGGAACGAGTAAGTTCTAGTCTAACTTCGAAACTAATTTATTGTGTCTCATGAATTTAGGACAAGGGTTCCCAACCTGCAGCCCAAGGGCCCAGTGGTGGACCCACATTTTAAGACCCCTGAATCTTGAACTGTTATGAGGGCCCCTTCCAACCCCTTCTCATGCACTAGATCCACAATTTTTAAACACTGTGTACTAAAGTCGCTTCTGGACCCCTCAGGGATTTTGGGGCCCAAAAGCTTAAGCTTCATTACTTTCATAGTAGCTTCGCCCCTGTGAGGGCCCAAAGGTAGTCCTAGGAAATGAATGCAGCCCTCACATGAAATTCTGAATTATTTTTAAGGTTCAGCACTACATATTGTCAACAATCACAAAATATTATTCAGGAAATTTATAAAACATTACAAAATGAGGCCCGCCTTTAAATTTGACTTTTCAAATTGGCCTTTCTGTACTAAATGGTCGAGGCCTACTGGCTTATGTTATCTAGATTGTTGTTAATGTTGGAAGAGTAATTATAAATGTTTGTCATGAGTTTAGGTCATCTATATTGTTAATATTCTTAATTTCTAGTTTCTCATGAGTTTAGGTCATCTAGATTGATTGTTGTTAATGTTAGAAGAGTATATCAAAGGGCTTAGGAGGTGTATACACACACACACACACACACACACACACTATATTACATTACATTATTTATTTATTTGTGGGGTCACAAAAAGTATTATCCAGAGGAATGAGGAAGGGTTGTTGAGATGGTTTGAACATTAAAAGAGGATGGAACAAAATAGAATGACTGGAGGGTGTATAAATCTGTAGTGGAAGGAAGGCAGGGTAGGGATCATCCTAGGAAAGGTTGGAGGAAGGGGTTAAAGGAGGTTTCGTGTGTGAGGGGTTGAGACATCCAGCAGGCATGGGAGCGTTAGATAGGAGTGAGTGGAGACAAGTGGTTTTTATGACTTGAATTGCTGTTGGAGTGTAAGCAAGACAACATTTATGAAGGGATTCAGGGAAACTGGTTAGCTGAACTTAAGTCCTGGAGGTGGGAAGTACAGTACCAGCACTCTGAAGGTGGGAAGTGCAGTGCCTGCACTCTGAAGGTGGGAAGTACAGTGCCTGCACTCTGAAGGAGGAGTTGGATTGTATTTCAATTTATAGGGACATCTGAAATGTAGTATATACAAGCATCTGGCAAGACAGTGATGGAGTGAATGATGGTGAAAGTGTTTCTTTAGTGGGAAGTGACTGGTATTTAACATAGATTTCCTCATATAGTTAAGAACACATTGGGGACCTAAATTATGCATAATATTCATACTACAGGACTTCTACAACTTATGAATATTGTACACAGTAATGATGTAATAATGATATTATACACACTAATAATAATATACACAATACAGAAGATTCTCAATGTGTATGTAAGTCGAGGACTTAGCGTACTTATTTATCGACGCTGTATATTTACCCAGGGTAATCAAGTTGCAGTAGGAACGCACAAAGGCCTAGTACAAGTATGGGATGTTGCCAGCAGCAAGAGAGTGTGTATATTGAATGGTCATACAGCACGTGTGGGAGCCCTGGCCTGGAATGGTGACGTGCTGTCTTCCGGCTCCAGGGATAGACTCATTCTTCAGAGGGATGTTAGGACTCCTTGTATCATCCCTGACAGACGGCTGGCTGGACACAGACAGGAGGTACCTGCCTACCTACCGTATTACCTATCTCCCTAACTACCTACCTCCCTAATTGCCCATCTCCCTACCTACCTACCTACCTACCTACCTACCTACCTACCTACCTACCTACCTACCTACCTACCTACCTACCTACCTACCTACCTACCTACCTAACTAACCTACCTAACCTACCTAACCTACCTAACCTACCTACCACCTACCTACCTACCTACTACCTACCTACCTACTCCACCTACCTTACCCACTACCTACCTACCTACCTAAATAACTACTAACCTACCTAACCACCTAACCTACCTAACCTACCTAACCTACCTATCTCCCTAACTACCTACCTCCCTAATTGCCCATCTCCCTACCACACCTACTACCTAGACCTACCTTACTACTCACCTACCTACCTACTACACCTACTAACACACTAAACCTACCTACTACCTACCTACCTACCTATCTCCCTAACTACCTACCTCCCTAATTGCCCATCTCCCTACCTACCTACCTACACCTACCATCTAACCATTACCCTACCTAACCTACCTACCACCTATCTCCTAACTACGCTCCTAATGCCCTCTCCTACTACCTACCTACCTACCTACTAACCACTAACCTACCTACCCTACCTACCTACCTACCTATCTCCCTAACTACCTACCTCCAATTGCCCATCTCCCTACCTACCTACCTACCTACCCTACCTACCTACCTACCTACCCTACCTACACCTACCTACCTAACTACCTAACTACTACCTACCTACCTACCTAACCTACCTACCACCTACCTAACCTACCTCACCTACCTACCTACCTACCTAATTGCCCATCTCCCTACCTACCTACCTACCTACCTACCTACCTACCTACCTACCTACCTACCTACCTACCTAAATAACCTAACTAACCTACCTAACCTATCTAACCTACCTAACCTACCTATCTCCCTAACTACCTACCTCCCTAATTGCCCATCTCCCTACCTCCCTCCCTACCTACCTACCTACCTACCTACCTAACCTACCTAACCTATCTAGCCTATCTAACCTACCTAACCTACCTATCTCCCTAACTACCTACCTCCCAATTGCCCATCTCCCTACCTACCTACCTACTCCTAACAACCTACCTACCTACCTAACCTACTACTATCTAACCTACCTAACCCTTCCTCCTACCTACCTACCTCCCTACCTACCTACCTACCTACCTACCTACCTACCTACCTACCTACCTACCTACCTACCTACCTACCTACCTACCTACCTACCTATGTACCTAACTATACCTACCTAACCTATCTAACCTACTCCTAGGTTGAGGGACTGATTACTTCATCTTCTGTACATAGTTCAACTAACTTCAAGTTATGTCCTGGAATTTGTATTGATAAAGCCACTGGATGGGCGAAACGTCTACAGTAAAGATACCCAGATGTTGCACATGTACTGTTAAACTTTAAACGGGTTAAAACAGAAAATTAAAAAAACAAATTACGAGTTAGCTTGAGAGGTGAGAAAGAGGTACACAAGGGAAGAGATGAGCCATAGGGATGTCAGGAAGTATTTCTTCGGGCCTCAGTGCGGTCGGAAAGTGGAATAATCTAAGGGAAGAATAGATGGAGTTAGACTCCTTACACAGCTGTAAAATCAGGTATGATAGGGCCTACGAGGCTTGGAGTCTATATCACAGAAAAAGGCACAATACCATGGCTGGAACAATACACAAATAACCTGCACATAGCGTGACTTTATAAATGGTCCAAGTCGGACCGAAACGTTGTTGTAAGCTCCTCTCTTCTATGTGCAAGTTATTTGTGTATAGTCTATATCACAATTTCCTGAGGCTGTATTAAAGCAGACCAGGGAATGAATGGGATTTGAATTCAGTTTTCTTTTTACAATTTTGTGAGTACATATATGTGGAAGGGAGCAAGGGGCTAGTAACCCCTTCTCCTGTATAAATTACTAAATTTGAAAAGAGAAACTTTCGTTTTTCTTTTTGGGCCACCCTGCCTTGGTGGGATACGGCCGGTTTGTTAAAAAAAAAAAAAAAAAATATATGTATATGGAAGCCAACCACAGAACAGATGGGATTTGAAGCTATGGCCAGTGCGTGGCTTGTTTCCAGTCATATTTTAATGATTTTGTGAGTTCATATTTAAGCCTTTCAAAGTCATTGCCGTAGTACTACGCCATGAGCTCAGCTCACTCAGATAAGCTGTGAGCAGTAAATTTGGGCCTAGATATGAGAGAATGGGTGTATGTGGTAAGTGTGCACCATCATGCACTGCAGGATGATGGGGGGAAACTACAAGCCTATTTTTGGTTTAAAACGGCAACTTTGCGATGTATTTTCATATGGCTTTTATGGTTGTATTCTCAGTTTCTTGGTCTCATTTGATAGAATGAAAGACACATTACAAAATAGAGATGATTTTGATTGGTTTCAGGACTGTAAATATCTTGAAATTGAGCTCAAAGTAATGGAAATATTCAATTTTTGCTGATATTCTAGAGTGCACAAATGATGTCACGCGTCCAATACACATCCAACTGGCCAGTCTAATATGCATTCACGAATGCACTTATATTATTTATACAGTTATTACAATAATGCAATATCGTAATCTTCTATTTATTGTTTGAATAAAAAATCAAAATGGAATTCATGCTTAAAGCCTGGAAATATAACTAGTGAACACAGCAAATGTTATTTTACTGCCAGGAATGTCTGCGTTGTTTATTCTGGACCATATTTTGAAATTTGTGTAAAATTGGACAAATTACCAATTTCTGATCACTTTATTGGGTAGTTGAAATACAGTGGACCCCCGGTTAACGATATTTTTTCATTCCAGAAGTATGTTCAGGTGCCAGTACTGACCAAATTTGTTCCCATAAGGAATATTGTGAAGTAGATTAGTCCATTTCAGACCCCCAAACATACATGTACAAACGCACTTACATAAATACACTTACATAATTGGTCGCATTGGGAGCTGATCGTAAACCGGGGGTCCACTGTAGTTCACTGGGCATTTTATTGGGCTTGGTCAATAAAATAGAAGACATACTAGCAAAGTAGCTAATTGGCCTAAAATAAGACTCAAATTGGGCAAAATCACTGATGTGTAAATATCGCTGACACAGCAAAATTTGCGATAGCGTAATTTTGTAAATTTTTTGTCAAATTTTGTACTTTTCGTTTCATTATCTTTAGAAAAAGATTCTCTGCCGTTTCATAGGAGAAAATAATTTTTTTGAAAACATTTGAACCCTGTGGAACGGGTGGGGTTTAAACTCACAGCAAATGAGTTGTAAAACTCCAGCTCCTGTGTGGCTTGTTTCCATTCGTGAACATATATCAATGGTATTTATTATTTTTGCAAGTTTGTAAGCGTAAATTGATGGAATTTATTGTTGTCGCTATATGGTGAGTGTATATTGATGGAATGACGTGTTTTAACAATTTTGTAAGCGTAAATTGATGGAATTTATTGTTGTCGCTATTTAGTGAGCGTATACTGATGGAATTTCTTGTTTACAGGTGTGTGGGTTGAAGTGGTCCCCAGACAGTCAGTACCTGGCCTCCGGTGGTAATGACAACAAACTGTTTGTGTGGAACCTGCACTCCCTTACTGCTGTTCAGACTTATACTGAACATAATGCTGCTGTGAAAGGTGAACCTGGTGTTCAATACTACCTGTGGTTCAACACTACTTGGGGTACCTGGGGTTCAACACTACATGGAGTACCTGTGGTTCAACACTACCTGGGGTACTTGGGGCTCAACACTACTAGAGTACCTGGTGTTCAGTACTACCTGGGGTTCAACACTACCCAGGCTACCTGGGGTTCAATACTACCTGTAGTAACCTGGTGTTCAATACTACCTGTAGTAACCTGGGGTTCAATATTACCTGTAGTAACCTGGTGTTCAATACTACCTGTAGTAACCTGGTGTTCGATACTACCTGTAGTAACCTGGGGTTCAATATTACCTGTAGTAACCTGGTGTTCAATACTACCTGTAGTAACCTGGGGGTTCAGTACTACCTGTAGTAACCTGGTGTTCAATACTACCTGTAGTAACCTAGGGGTTCAGTACTACCTGTAGTAACCTGGGGGTTCAGTACTACCTGTAGTAACCTGGGGGTTCAGTACTACCTGTAGTAACCTGGTGTTCAGTACTACCTGTAGTAACCTAGGGGTTCAGTACTACCTGTAGTAACCTGGGGGTTCAGTACTACCTGTAGTAACCTGGTGTTCAATACTACCTGTAGTAACCTAGGGGTTCAGTACTACCTGTAGTAACCTGGGGGTTCAGTACTACCTGTAGTAACCTGGGGGTTCAGTACTACCTGTAGTAACCTGGTGTTCAGTACTACCTGTAGTAAACTGGTGTTCAGTACTACCTGTAGTAACTTGGTGTTCAGTACTACCTGTAGTAACCTGGTGTTCAGTACTACCTGTAGTAACCTGGTGTTCAGTACTACCTGTAGTAATATGGTGTTCAGTACTACCTGGAGTAAGGCTTATTTTCAGGCCATTATTAAGCAAAAATAAGGCTTATTTTCAGTTATCTCGGGTAAACCCCGGGTAAGTGAAACTATCACTGAAACAGTACCCACAGATACCGGGGCTCTACTCTATTATATTTTAAGAGTAGAGTTTTGTTATTCAATAATTCACATTGATGTACGTCAGTAGTTCACATTGATGTACGTCAATAGTTTACATTGATGTACGTCAGTAGTTCACATTGATGTATGTCAGTAGTTCACACTGATGTATGTCAATATTTCACATTGATGTACATCAGTAGTTCACATTGATGTATGTCAATAGTTCACACTGATGTACACCAATAGTTCACATTGATGTACGTCAATAGTTCACATTGATGTACGTCAATAGTTCACATTGATGTACGTCAATAGTTCACATTGATGTACGTCAATAGTTCACATTGATGTACGTCAATAGTTCACATTGATGTACGTCAATAGTTCACATTGGTGTACGTCAATAGTTCACATTGGTGTACGTCAATAGTTCACATTGATGTACGTCAATATTTCACATTGATGTACGTCAATAGTTCACATTGATGTACGTCAATAGTTCACATTGATGTACGTCAATAGTTCACATTGATGTACGTCAATAGTTCACATTGATGTACGTCAATAGTTTCACATTGATGTACGTCAATAGTTCACATTGATGTACGTCAATAGTTCACATTGATGTACGTCAATAGTTCACATTGATGTACGTCAATAGTTCACATTGATGTACGTCAATAGTTCACATTGATGTACGTCAATAGTTCACATTGATGTACGTCAATAGTTCACATTGATGTACGTCAATAGTTCACATTGATGCACATCAATAGTTCACATTGATGTACGTCAATAGTTCACATTGATGTACACCAATATTTCACATTAATGCACGTCAATAGTTCACATTGATGTACGTCAATAGTTCACATTGATGTATGTCAATAGTTCACATTGATGTACGTCAATAGTTCACATTGATGTACGTCAATAGTTCACATTGATGTACGTCAATAGTTCACATTGATGTACGTCAATAGTTCACATTGATGTACGTCAATAGTTCACATTGATGTACGTCAATAGTTCACATTGATGTACGTCAATAGTTCACATTGATGTACGTCAATAGTTCACATTGATGTATGTCAATAGTTCACATTGATGTATGTCAATAGTTCACATTGATGTATGTCAATATTTCACATTGATATATGTCAATAGTTCACATTGATGTATGTCAATATTTCACATTGATGTACGTCAATAGTTCACATTGATGTATGTCAATATTTCACATTGATGTACACCAATATTTCACATTGATATATGTCAATAGTTCACATTGATGTACACCAATATTTCACATTGATGTACGTCAATAGTTCACATTAATGTACACCAATATTTCACATTGATGTATGTCAATAGTTCACATTGATGTACGTCAATATTTCACATTAATGTACAATATTTCACGTTGATGTACAGCAATATTTCACATTGATGTATATCAGTATTCCACGTTGATGTATGTCAATATTTCATGTTGATGTATGTCATCATGTCACGTTAATGTACGTCAGTATTTCACATTGATGTATGGTAATATTTCACATTGATGTATGTCAGTATTTCACATTGATGTTTGTCAATATTTTACATTGATGTACACCAATATTTCACATTGATGTCATCTTAGTGTGATACATATGTTGACAGCTATTGCCTGGTCACCGCATCATCACGGGCTACTGGCCAGCGGAGGAGGGACGGCTGACCGCTGCATACGCTTCTGGAACACATTAACCGGACAACCCATGCAATGTGTGGACACTGGTTCTCAAGTTTGCAACTTAGCATGGTCAAAACATGCTTCGGAACTTGTAAGTATTGATGTGGTTGTTTTAACCCCTTAACTGTCCAGACATAGATCTCCATTGTTACCGCTAGCTTTCCAAATGTAGATCAGCGTTTTATTTTTCCTGTTTCCAAATTTGGAACGATTGGCCTGAGATGCCTGGTCAGTATAGAATGGGTCTTAACACTTGGTGTGCGCAGTATTAAAAAAAATCTGGGACCACTTAGTACCTTGTGGGAGCACCAGTTCAATTGAGCGCTATCTAGAGCAAACTGCGCAGCAGACACCAGGGATTCACTGATGTCACGTCATATTAACACTCCCCTTTTAAGAGGAAAGTGATGTTGACCCTGAGTTTAGTGGCTTGGAGATAAATGTGGCCACAGGTGGTCGAGGAAATATAAAAAACCTTGATAATAACCCATGTGTAACATTTGTGCAACATCCTTTCAATTTTAATACCACTGGTAGTGCCATCCTGCCAGAATGTCCTATAATCTATGCCTTAAGTAAAGAGAAATAATTCTGGAACATGTGTAGTACATGTTTGGCAGTCCGGCTGGCTGGACTGGTGGCTGGCTGGCTGGCTGACTGGCTGGGTAAATGGGTGGGTTGGTGGCTGGCTGATTGACTTTGGCTGTCTCTGTCTCACAGGTACACATCAGTACAGTTATCATACATCATACATAGTGTAAATTACCTAGGATAATCCAAGAAATCCAGACAAAGTGCTATACTGTGCTTGTAAATTAAAGGCATAATAGGCATTTCCGCTTGTTCTGGAATCAGACATGACTCTGCATCATGTGTAATACCTGTTGGTTCATGAGTGGCTCTCTCTCTGACAGAGGGAGACAGAGATATACATACAGGCAGACTGAGAGACATACACACACAGGCAGACAGAAAGACAGACAGATAGCAGAGACAGAGACAGAGCTAGACAGACAGATAGATGTAGCAGTGAGAACAAATAAAATCCATATGCCAAGGCTCACTGGGAGCAGTGCATGATGAGTGATATAAAGGATATTGAGTGATGGGTGACTGTACTGTCAGCAGTGACAAGTGACTGCCCCATCAGCAGTGGAGAGTGACACTTGTCTGACATCATAAACCATACCACGGGCGGGATTGAACCCGCGGTCAGAGAGTCTCAAAACTCCAGACCGTCACGTTAGCCACTGGACCAGCTAGCCACAATAAGATTCGTCCAACTAGGTATATTTCTCTGGTGTAGAAATATACCTAGTTGGACGAATCTTATTGTGGCTAGCTGGTCCAGTGGCTAACGTGACGGTCTGGAGTTTTGAGACTCTCTGACCGCGGGTTCAATCCCGCCCGTGGTATGGTTTGTTTGCAATCGTGTAATTACGATTTCGTGAGCCATGCTGACACCATACTTCAAGGAGTTTCGTACACTTCCATAAACATTGCTGGGACATATAAATAATTTATATATATTTTTAGACAATAGTATGTGACCAAGGCAGATGAATTTGTTTACTTGTCGGTATGCTTGTGACTGATTACTATTTCCGTACCTAATATTAGTGTCAGAACAAATATTGGCTATGAAATTACAAGAACTACTTCAAATTGTAATTATCAGAACACAAAAGTTACGTAAATTAAAAAAAAATATGAGGAAAAAAAAGTATATCGGCAACATTTCTGCAAATGGCAGGACTCCATCTTGCCGTCAGGTGAGCGTCCGGCACCAACTTTGCTACCTTATATCTTGGTAATTACTGACCCCAATTGGCTAGTAACCCCTTCTCCTGTATACAATTACTAAAAAAGAGAAGAAGAAAAACTTTATAAAACTGGGTTGCTTAAATGTGCGTGGATGTAGTGCGGATGACAAGAAACAGATGATTGCTGATGTTATGAATGAAAAGAAGTTGGGTGTCCTGGCCCTAAGCAAAACAAAGCTGAAGGGGGTAGGAGAGTTTCAGTGGGGGGAAATAAATGGGATTAAATCTGGAGTACTGAGAGAGTTAGAGCAAAGGAAGGGGTAGCAGTAATGTTAAATGATCAGTTATGGAAGGAGAAAAGAGAATATGAATGTGTAAATTCAAGAATTATGTGGATTAAAGTAAAGGTTGGATGCGAGAAGTGGGTCATAATAAGCGTGTATGCACCTGGAGAAGAGAGGAATGCAGAGGAGAGAGAGAGATTTTGGGAGATGTAAGTGAATGTATAGGAGCCTTTGAACCAAGTGAGAGAGTAATTGTGGTAGGGGACTTGAATGCTAAAGTAGGAGAAACTTTTAGAGAGGGTGTGGTAGGTAAGTTTGGGTGCCAGTGTAAATGATAATGGGAGCCCTTTGATTGAACTTTGTATAGAAAGGGGTTTAGTTTATAGGTAATACATATTTTAAGAAAAAGAGGATAAATAAGTATACACGATATGATGTAGGGCGAAATGACAGTAGTTTGTTGGATTATGTATTGGTAGATAAAAGACTGTTGAGTAGACTTCAGGATGTACATGTTTATAGAGGGGCCACAGATATATCAGATCACTTTCTAGTTGTAGCTACACTGAGAGTAAAGGTAATGGGATACAAGGAGAATAGAAGCATCAGGGAAGAGAGAGGTGAAGGTTTATAAACTAAAAGAGGAGGCAGTTAGGGTAAGATATAAACAGCTATTGGAGGATAGATGGGTTAATGAGAGCATAGGCAATGGGGTCGAAGAGGTATGGGGTAGGTTTAAAAAATGTAGTGTTAGAGTGTTCAGCAGAAGTTTGTGGTTACAGGAAAGTGGGTGCAGGAGGAAGAGGAGCGATTGGTGGAATGATGATGTAAAGAGAGTAGTAAGGGAGAAAAAGTTAGCATATGAGAAGTTTTTACAAAGTAGAAGTGATGCAAGGAGGGAAGAGTATATGGAGGAAAAAAGAGAGAAGTTAAGAGAGTGGTGAAGCAATGTAAAAAGAGAGCAAATGAGAGAGTGGTTGAGATGTTATCAACAAATTTTTGTTGAAAATAAGAAAAAGTTTTGAGTGAGATTAAAAGTTAAGAAAGCCTAGAGAACAAATGGATTTGTCAGTTAAAAATAGGAGAGGAGAGTTATTAAATGGAGAGTTAGAGGTATTGGAAGAGATGGAAGGAAATTTTGAGGAATTGTTAAATGTTGATGAAGATAGGGAAGCTGTGATTTCGTGTATAGGGAAATAGGAGGAATAACATCTTGTAGGAGTGAGGAAGAGCCAGTTGTGAGTGTGGGGGAAGTTCGTGAGGCAGTAGGTAAAATGAAAAGGGGTAAGCAGCCGGATTGTGGATAAAGATAGAAATGTTAAAAGCAGGTGGGGATATAGTTTGGAGTGGTTGGTGCAAATTATTTAATAAATGTATGGAAGAGGGTAAGGTACCTAGGGATTGGCAGAGAGCATGCATAGTTCCTTTGTATAAAGGCAAGGGGATAAAAGAGAGTGCAAAAATTATAGGGGGATAAGTCTGTTGAGTGTACCTGGTAAAGTGTATGGTAGAGTTATATTTGAAAGAATTAAGAGTAAGACGGAGAATAGGATAGCAGATGAACAAGGAGGCTTTAGGAAAGGTAGGGGGTGTGTGGACCAGGTGTTTACAGTGAAAATATAAGTGAATAGTATTTAGATAAGGCTAAAGAGGTCTTTGTGGCATTTATGGATTTGGAAAAGGCGTATGACAGGGTGGATAGGGGGGCAATGTGGCAGATGTTGCAAGTGTATGGTGTAGGAGGTAGGTTACTGAAAGCAGTGAAGAGTTTTTACGAGGATAGTGAGGCTCAAGTTAGAGTATGTAGGAAAGAGGGAAATTTTTTCCCAGTAAAAGTAGGCCTTAGACAAGGATGTGTGATGTCACCGTGGTTATTTATTTTTTTATTATCACACCGGCCGATTCCCACCAAGGCAGGGTGGCCCGAAAAAGAAAAACTTTCACCATCATTCACTCCATCACTGTCTTGCCAGAAGGGTGCTTTACACTACAGTTTTTAAACTGCAACATTAACACCCCTCCTTCAGAGTGCAGGCACTGTACTTCCCATCTCCAGGACTCAAGTCCGGCCTGCCGGTTTCCCTGAATCCCTTCATAAATGTTACTTTGCTCACACTCCAACAGCACGTCAAGTATTAAAAACCATTTGTCTCCATTCACTCCTATCAAACACGCTCACGCATGCCTGCTGGAAGTCCAAGCCCCTCGCACACAAAACCTCCTTTACCCCCTCCCTCCAACCCTTCCTAGGCCGACCCCTACCCCGCCTTCCTTCCACTACAGACTGATACACTCTTGAAGTCACTTCTGTTCGCTCCATTCTCTCTACATGTCCGAACCACCTCAACAACCCTTCCTCAGCCCTCTGGACAACAGTTTTGGTAATCCCGCACCTCCTCCTAACTTCCAAACTACGAATTCTCTGCATTATATTCACACCACACATTGCCCTCAGACATGACATCTCCACTGCCTCCAGCCTTCTCCTCGCTGCAACATTCATCACCCACGCTTCACACCCATATAAGAGCGTTGGTAAAACTATACTCTCATACATTCCCCTCTTTGCCTCCAAGGACAAAGTTCTTTGTCTCCACAGACTCCTAAGTGCACCACTCACTCTTTTTTCCCTCATCAATTCTATGATTCACCTCATCTTTCATAGACCCATCCGCTGACACGTCCACTCCAAATATCTGAATACGTTCACCTCCTCCATACTCTCTCCCTCCAATCTGATATTCAATCTTTCATCACCTAATCTTTTTGTTATCCTCATAACCTTACTCTTTCCTGTATTCACCTTTAATTTTCTTCTTTTGCACACCCTACCAAATTCATCCACCAATCTCTGCAACTTCTCTTCAGAATCTCCCAAGAGCACAGTGTCATCAGCAAAGAGCAGCTGTGACAACTCCCACTTTGTTTTGTGATTCTTTATCTTTTTAACTCCACGCCTCTTGCCAAGACCCTCGCATTTACTTCTCTTACAACCCCATCTATAAATATATTAAACAACCACGGTGACATCACACATCCTTGTCTAAGGCCTTACTTTTACTGGGAAAAAATTTCCCTCTTTCCTACATACTCTAACTTGAGCCTCACTATTCCTCGTAAAAAACTCTTCACTGCTTTCAGTAACCTACCTCCTACACCATACACTTGCAACATCTGCCACATTGCCTCCCTATCCACCCTGTCATACGCCTTTTCCAAATCCATAAATGCCACAAAGACCTCTTTAGCCTTATCTAAATACTGTTCACTTATATGTTTTCACTGTAAACACCTGGTCCACACACCCCCTAACCTTTCCTAAAGCCTCCTTGTTCATCTGCTATCCTATTCTCCGTCTTACTCTTATTCTTTCAATTATAACTCTACCATACACTTTACCAGGTACACTCAACAGACTTATCCCCCTAAATTTTTGCACTCTCTTTTATCCCCTTTGCCTTTATACAAAGGAACTATGCATGCTCTCTGCCAATCCTAGGTACCTTACCCTCTTCCATACATTTATTAAATAATTGCACCAACCACTCCAAAACTATATCCCCACCTGCTTTAACATTTCTATCTTTATCCCATCAAGCCCGGCTGCCTTACCCCCTTTCATTTTACCTACTGCCTCACGAACTTCCCCCACACTCACAACTGGCTCTTCCTCACTCCTACAAGATGTTATTCCTCCTTGCCCTATACACGAAATCACAGCTTCCCTATCTTCATCAACATTTAACAATTCCTCAAAATATTCCTTCCATCTTCCCAATACCTCTAACTCTCCATTTAATAACTCTCCTCTCCTATTTTTAACTGACAAATCCATTTGTTCTCTAGGCTTTCTTAACTTGTTAATCTCACTCCAAAACTTTTTCTTATTTTCAACAAAATTTGTTGATAACATCTCACCACATCTCTCATTTGCTCTCTTTTTAACATTGCTTCACCACTCTCTTAACTTCTCTCTTTTTCTCCATATACTCTTCCCTCCTTGCATCACTTCTACTTTGTAAAAACTTCTCATATGCTAACTTTTTCTCCCTTACTACTCTCTTTACATCATCATTCACCAATCGCTCCTCTTCCTCCTGCACCACTTTCCTGTAACCACAAACTTCTGCTGACACACTCTAACACATACATTTTTAAACCTACCCCATACCTCTTCGACCCCATTGCCTATGCTCTCATTAGCCCATCTATCCTCCAATAGCTGTTTATATCTTACCCTAACTGCCTCCTCTTTTAGTTTATAAACCTTCACCTCTCTCTTCCCTGATGTTTCTATTCTCCTTGTATCCCATCTACCTTTACTCTCAGTGTAGCTACAACTAGAAAGTGATCTGATATATCTGTGGCCCCTCTATAAACATGTACATCCTGAAGTCTACTCAACAGTCTTTTATCTACCAATACATAATCCAACAAACTACTGTCATTTCGCCCTACATCATATCGTGTATACTTATTTATCCTCTTTTTCTTAAAATATGTATTACTATAACTAAACCCCTTTCTATACAAAGTTCAATCAAAGGGCTCCCATTATCATTTACACCTGGCACCCCAAACTTACCTACCACACCCTCTCTAAAGTTTCTCCTACTTTAGGCATTCAAGTCCCCTACCACAATTACTCTCTCACTTGGTTCAAAGGCTCCTATACATTCACTTAACATCTCCCAAAATCTCTCTCTCTCCTCTGCATTCCTCTCTTCTCCAGGTGCATACACGCTTATTATGACCCACTTCTCGCATCAACCTTTACTTTTAATCCACATAATTCTTGAATTTACACATTCATATTCTCTTTTCTCCTTCCATAACTGATCATTTAACATTACTGCTACCCCTTCCTTTGCTCTAACTCTCTCAGATACTCCAGATTTAATCCCATTTATTTCCCCCCACTGAAACTCTCCTACCCCCTTCAGCTTTGTTTCGCTTAGGGCCAGGACATCCAACTTCTTTTCATTCATAACATCAGCAATCATCTGTTTCTTGTCATCCGCACTACATCCACGCACATTTAAGCAACCCAGTTTTATAAAGTTTTCTTCTCTCTTTTTTGTAATTGTATACAGGAGAAGGGGTTACTAGCCCATTGCTCCCGGCATTTTAGTCGCCTCATACGACACGCATGGCTTACGGAGGAAAGATTCTTTTCCACTTCCCCATGGACAATAGAAGAAATAAAAAAGAACAAGAGCTATTTAGAAAAAGGAGAAAAACCTAGATGTATGTATATATATATATGCATGTGCGTGTCTGTGAAGTGTGACCAAAGTGTAAGTAGGAGTAGCAAGATATCCCTGTTATCTTAGCGTGTTTATGAGACAGAAAAAGAAACCAGCAATCCTACCATCATGCAAAACAGTTACAGGTTTTTGTTTCACAGTCATCTGGCAGGACGGTAGTACTTCCCTGGGTGGTTGCTGTCTACCAACCTACTACCTACTACTACCGTGGTTGTTTAATATATTTATAGATGGGGTTGTAAGAGAAGTAAATGCGAGGGTCTTGGCAAGAGCGTGGAGTTAAAAGATAAAGAATCACACACAAAGTGGGAGTTGTCACAGCTGCTCTTTGCTGATGACACTGTGCTCTTGGGAGATTCTGAAGAGAAGTTGCAGAGATTGGTGATGAATTTGGTAGGGTGTGCAAAAGAAGAAAATTAAAGGTGAATACAGGAAAGAGTAAGGTTATGAGGATAACAAAAAGATTAGGTGATGAAAGATTGGATATCAGATTGGAGGGAGAGAGTATGGAGGAGGTGAACGTATTCAGTATATTTGGGAGTGGACGTGTCAGCGGATGGGTCTATGAAAGATGAGGTGAATCATAGAATTGATGAGGGAAAAAGAGTGAGTGGTGCACTTAGGAGCTGTGGAGACAAAGAACTTTGTCCTTGGAGGCAAAGAGGGAATGTATGAGAGTATGGTTTTACCAACGCTCTTATATGGTGTGTGAAGCGTGGGTGATGAATGTTGCAGCGAGGAGAAGGCTGGAGGCAGTGGAGATGTCATGTCTGAGGGCAATGTGTGGTGTGAATATAATGCAGAGAATTCGTAGTTTGGAAGTTAGGAGGAGGTGCGGGATTACCAAAACTGTTGTCCAGAGGGCTGAGGAAGGGTTGTTGAGGTGGTTCGGACATGTAGAGAGAATGGAGCGAAACAGAATGACTTCAAGAGTGTATCAGTCTGTAGTGGAAGGAAGGCGGGGTAGGGTCGGCCTAGGAAGGGTTGGAGAGGGGGTAAAGGAGGTTTTGTGTGCGAGGGGCTTGGACTTCCAGCAGGCATGCTGAGCGTGTTTGATAGGAGTGAATGGAGACAAATGGTTTTTAATACTTGACGTGCTGTTGGAGTGTGAGCAAAGTAACATTTATGAAGGGATTCAGGGAAACCGGCAGGCCGGACTTGAGTCCTGGAGATGGGAAGTACAGTGCCTGCACTCTGAAGGAGGGGTGTTAATGTTGCAGTTTAAAAACTGTAGTGTAAAGCACCCTTCTGGCAAGACAGTGATGGAGTGAATGATGGTGAAAGTTTTTCTTTTTCGGGCCACCCTGCCTTGGTGGGAATCGGCCGGTGTGATAATAAAAAAAAAAAAAAAAAAAAAATTTTTTTGTTTCATTACACACAGAATATTGTCCTCTTTATTTAAAAAAAATCAAAATATTCAGAGTACTAGCAGTGAAAACATAGATCTATGTTCGGACAGTTAAAGAGTTAATTAAAGCCAACAATATGCTCCTCACTTTATTATGGTGCGACTTAAGATATTTCAGCTTTATGATGGTGGAACTTACGATATTTTAACTTTACGATGGTTCGACTTAGGATATTTCAACTTTACAATATTTCAATTTTACAATATTTCAACTTTACAATGGTATGACGTACGATATTTTAATTTTACAATGGGGTGACGTATGATATTTCAACTTCATGATGGTTCAACTTACGACATTTCAACTTTACAATGGTGCAGCAACAATTGCTTTGGAGATGAAATTTAAGATAATTACCCAGCATGAAGGCAGCAAGTCCCTAACTTGTATTCATTTATTGACTTTTCAATACTGGTATTTACTTACAGTAATTATTTGTTTATTGACTTATTCACTGACAATAGTTATTTATTGACTTATTGATTTAGCATGTACAGTGGACCCCCGCATAACGATTACCTCTGAATGCGACCAATTATGTAAGTGTAATTATGTAAGTGCGTTTGTACGTGTATGTTTGGAGGTCTGAAATGGACTAATCTACTTCACAATATTCCTTATGGGAACAAATTCGGTCAGTACTGGCACCTGAACATACTTCTGGAGTGAAAAAATATCGTTAACCGGGGGTCCACTGTATTAATATTTAACTTAGGATATTTACAACTTACAATGAGTTCATCGCATTGTGATACCTTAGTAAGTCCCGGACCACCTGTCTTCATATTCAACTTAGGATATTTTCAACTTAGGATGGGTTTATCAGGGTGTAACCCCATAGTAAGTCAAGGAGCGACCACCTGTGTATCTAACATGCCACTATTTACCAGGTATCGACTCACGGGTACAGCCAGAACCAGATATTAGTGTGGCGGTATCCATCCCTGGCACAAGTGGCCAAGTTGACTGGCCATACCTACCGTGTCCTCTACCTGGCCATGTCCCCTGATGGCGAGGCCATTGTCACCGGCGCCGGTGATGAAACCTTGCGATTCTGGAATGTCTTCAGCAAAGCTCGTTCACAAAAGGTAAACACAGTAAGTCCTTGACTTACAGACGCATTGAGAATCTTCTATTTTATTTTTTATTATCACACTGGCCGATTCCCACCAAGGCAGGGTGGCCCGAAAAAGAAAAACTTTCACCATCATTCACTCCATCACTGTCTTGCCAGAAGGGTGCTTTACACTACAGTTTTTAAACTGCAACATTAACACCCCTCCTTCAGAGTGCAGGCAGTGTACTTCCCATCTCCAGGACTCAAGTCCGGCCTGCCGGTTTCCCTGAACCCCTTCATAAATGTTACTTTGCTCACACTCCAACAGCACGTCAAGTATTAAAAACCATTTGTCTCCATTCACTCCTATCAAACACGCTCACGCATGCCTGCTGGAAGTCCAAGCCCCTCGCACACAAAACCTCCTTTACCCCCTCCCTCCAACCTTTCCTAGGCCGACCCCTACCCCGCCTTCCTTCCACTACAGACTGATACACTCTTGAAGTTATTGTTTCGCTCCATTCTCTCCACATGTCCAAACCACCTCAACAACCCTTCCTCAGCCCTCTGGACAACAGTTTTGGTAATCCCGCACCTCCTCCTAACTTCCAAACTACGAATTCTCTGCATTATATTCACACCACACATTGCTCTCAGACATGACATCTCCACTGCCTCCAGCCTTCTCCTCGCTGCAACATTCATCACCCATGCTTCACACCCATATAAGAGCATTGGTAAAACTATACTCTCATACATTCCCCTCTTTGCCTCCAAGGACAAAGTTCTTTGTCTCCAGAGACTCCTAAGTGCACCACTCACCCTTTTCCCCTCATCAATTCTATGATTCACCTCATCTTTCATAGACCCATCCGCTGACACGTCCACTCCCAAATATCTGAATACATTCACCTCCTCCATACTCTCTCCCTCCAATCTGATATCCAATCTTTCATCACCTAATCTTTTGTTATCCTCATAACCTTACTCTTTCCTGTATTCACTTTCAATTTTCTTCTTTTGCACACCCTACCAAATTCATCCACCAATCTCTGCAACTTCTCTTCAGAATCTCCCAAGAGCACAGTGTCATCAGCAAAGAGCAACTGTGACAACTCTCACTTTATGTGTGATTCTTTGTCTTTTAACTCCACGCCTCTTGCCAAGACCCTCGCATTTACTTCTCTTACAACCCCATCTATAGATATATTAAACAACCACGGTGACATCACACATCCTTGTCTAAGGCCTACTTTTACTGGGAAATAATTTCCCTCTTTCCTACATACTCTAACTTGAGCCTCACTATCCTCGTAAAAACTCTTCACTGCTTTCAGTAACCTACCTCCTACACCATACACCTGCAACATCTGCCACATTGCCCCCCTATCCACCCTGTATTGTGTATAATAATATATTTTTTTTTATTAACACGTTGGCCGTCTCCCACCAAGGCAGGGTGGCCCAGAAAAGAAAAACTTTCATCATCATTCACTCTGTCACTGTCTTCCCAGGGGTGCCCTTACACACAGTTATAAAACTGCAACTTAACCCCCCCCTTTTTAAAGTGCGACACTGTACTTCCCACCCCGGGAACCAAGCCGGGCCGCGGGTTCCCTGAATCCTTTCATAAAGTTGCCTTGTTCAACCCCAACAGCCCCTCAAACCTAAAAATATATTGTGTTTTAAAATATCTAAGAAAGTTGCAGGTTAGTGAATATTTGGAGGGTGTAAAAGGGTAGAAATTGAAAGTGAACAGGATTAGAGAAAGGGTATGGGGGTATCAAACAATTTAGATAAGAAAAATTGAATACTTTTGACTTAAAAAAACGTAATGACACATTGCAAAAAAACCCATCCCCCCCGAGGGGGTTTAAACCCGCGTCATAGGCCCAAAAACTCCACCCGTCGCGTTTAGCCACAGACCATACCACAATAAATTCATCAACGGGAAATTTTTCTACCCCAAAAGGAAGGGTTAGCACAGGCACCCCGTGACCACAAATGCAATTTTTTAACAACAATCTCCACTAGCGTGCCGTGACAACCTAGCTCAAGCCCCTTCAAGCCCAACATGACTTAAGAAATCTAATGACACCAGCGGGAGATTCGCTGTAAAAACTTGCTTTGTGGTCACAGAGGTGCCTGTCTAACCTTCCTAGGTGTAAAATATCCTAGGGGATAATCTTTTTGTGGCAGCGGGTCTATGGCTAACGCACGGGCTGGAGTTTGAGACTCTGACCCGGGTTCAACCCCGGGCCGGGGGGAATGGTTGGAATCACATTGGAAGGAGGGTATAAAAGGAATGTTTTTCGATATTTGGGAGTTGTCAGCAGATGGTTTATGAAGGTGATTTAAACCAAAGAATATAAAGGACAAAATATGGTGATTGAGGGATCGTGGATCAAAACTGTTATCCACGAGAGTATAGGGGGTACCAGCATTTAATGGGTGTGAAGCAGGGGTTGTAAATGCCACGAGGAGTGGCTGAAAACATTGGGGAAAGTCCTGTCTGAGGGGAATAGTGGGGAAATTATGTAGAGAATTTATAGTGTGGAAAATTTGAGGAGGTGGGATTACTAAAAATTAGTCAAGGGCTGAAGGGGGTTTTGAGGTGGTTTGGTCATTTTAGGAGAATGGAACAAAGTAAAAAGACTTGAAAACGTAGAATCTGTAATGGAAGGGAAGGGGGGGTAGGGGGGACCCCCCCAAAAAAGGTTGGGGGGAGGGGGGAAAAGGGGGTGTGTGGGTAGGGCTTTGGGCTTCCAGCAAGCGTGCATAGCAATAGAGTGAAGGAGATGAATGGTTTTTTTGGGGCCTGACAAACTTTGAGGTGAGCAGGGTAATATTTTTTAAGGAAATTTAGGGGAAAATGGGTTCCAGACTTATTTTTTGGAAAAGGGGAGTCTTCTACACTTTTAAAAGGGGGGGTTTGGGGTATTGGGATTTGATACATCAAAATGTTGCATCTGATGCCTCTGGAAGGCAGGGATTTAAAGATAGTGAGGGAAAGGTTGAATAATGATAAAAAAAAATTTTTTTTCTTTTCGGTCCCCTGCCCCGGGGAAAATGGTACATGAAAAAAAAATGTATCCATTAAACCCGGCCCTGTAGTGTATTTCAGGTTTTTTATTCTAACACGCCATTATTAAATCTTTATATAAATTTTTGTTATTCATTTACAGGCCCTTTAGCCCCTTTGAATTTTTGCCAAACATGGTTTTGAGCTCAGGGGCCCCTTATATAAACCTCATCATCGAATCTGGGTTTATCGCATAGTTTTTGTATCATGACTCAGCCACTCACATAACTTTACATAAAAATTTTGGCCTAGATATGAGTAATGGGGCGGGGTGAGTGTGGGACCCTACGAAAAAATTCTTGCCCCACGCAGTGTATGATGGGAAAACAAAACTGTGACAGTGTGTATGGTTTAAAATAGCGACTTTTCAGTGTATTTTCCGATTACTTTTTGGGTTGTATTCTCAGTTTCTTGGTTGCATTTGACAAAATGGAAGATATATTATAGAAGGAGAGATAATATTGATTGATTTCCAGACTGGAAATAGATTGAAATTTTCGTCAGTATTCCAGAAGAGACAAATTATGTTACTAGTTCAATACATGTTCGACTGGCCAGTCTAATACGTGTTCACGAATGTGCTGACATTACTTATACAATTATTACAGTAATGCAGTAGTCTGCATAACAGTAAATCTTCTATTTTTTGTGTGAATAAGAATTTAAAATGGAAAGCAAGTGTAATATAGGAGAAGAATAGAAGAGACCTGTGAGGCCTAGAGAAGCCTGGGGAGACCTTAGAGGCCTGGAGAAGCCTAGGGAGGTCTAAGAGAAGCCTGAGGAGCCCTGTTGAGGCCTAGAGAAGCCTGGAGAGACCTGGAGAAGCCTAGGGAGGCCTGGTGATATGATTAATGAACAAAGGATGTGTTTTAGTTCCAGCAGTGTCTATATTGTTTATTCTGGACCCCATTTTTAAATTAGAAATTTTTTAATATTGGGAAATTGGTCAGATTACTGACTTCTGATCACTTTATTCAATAGCTAAAATAGGTAAATGGACAGTTTCTTGTGCTCATTTGATAGAATGGAAGGCATACTGAAATAGCTAAGAGTTCGGTCGACTGAAACAATGGAATTAGCCAAAGATAGGGATCAAAGTGGGCAGAATTGCTGATGTAAATATTGCAGAAACCACTCACTTTTCACCAGTATAATTCTCTAAGTCTTCCACAAAATTTTGTACTTTTGGTGTCAATATCTTCAGAAAAATATTCAGATCAAAGGTCTAGACCCTGTAAGGGTTAAAATATTTCCATCCTTAGCTTATGGTGAGTGGTAATTATATTCATTGTAGGAAGTCTGAATAAGTGAAGAATGGCTATAATTGAAATCTGCTGTTTTACCAAAATTCCGTAAATCAAATCTC